CCAATGGATGGCCATCTGTCATGGATGCTTGAGCTGAGATTCCTTCATTGCAAGGGGTTGTACTAGATGGTTCTGTAGTGCATGGGCCTCTCCCTGCCCAGAAATCATTGTAGTTGGTTGAAGTTGGCAGTTGGTGCTGTGAGGTCACCTGGGCTTGTAATGACAGTTAAGGATCTCGGAGCACACCCAATGATACACCAGCTCCTTTACAGGCAGCTCAGGCCCATCCAGAACTAGTGTACAATCCAGTTTCCATACCTGGGAATTGACTATCCATAGCAGGCATAGGCAAACTCAGCCCTCCAGATGTTTTGGGACTACAATTCCCATCACCCCTGACCACTGGTCCTGTTAGCTAGGGGTGATGAGAGTTGTAGTCCCAAAATATCTGGAGGGCCGAGTTTGCCTCTGCCTGATCCATAGGGTCTTTCGTATGATCATAGAATCATAGAATCGAATCATAGAATCATAGAGTTGGAATAGACCACAAGGGCCATCGAGTCCAACCCCCTGCCAAGCAGGAAACACCATCAGAGCACTCCTGACATATGGTTGTCAAGCCTCTGCTTAAAGACCTCCAAAGACGGAGACTCCACCACACTCCTTGGCAGCAAATTCCACTGTCGAACAGCTCTTACTGTCAGGAAGTTCTTCCTAATGTTTAGGTGGAATCTTCTTTCTTGTAGTTTGGATCCATTGCTCCGTGTCCACTTCTCTGGAGCAGCAGAAAACAACCTTTCTCCCTCCTCTATATGACATCCTTTTATATATTTGAACATGGCTATCATATCACCCCTTAACCTCCTCTTCTCCAGGCTAAACATGCCCAGCTCCCTTAGCCGTTCCTCATAAGGCATCGTTTCCAGGCCTTTGACCATTTTGGTTGCCCTCCTCTGGACACGTTCCAGTTTGTCAGTGTCCTTCTTGAACTGTGGTGCCCAGAACTGGACACAGTACTCCAGGTGAGGTCTGACCAGAGCAGAATACAGTGGCACTATTACTTCCCTTGATCTAGATGCTATACTCCTATTGATGCAGCCCTATTGATCAATCCTATTGATCAGGATTCAGGCCCAGTTTATTAGCCCATATCAGACCTGTGATTGCATCCAGGCACCAGCTTAGGACATGCACACAGCCTCTCTTGATTCAGATGTCACAGAGAAGTAGAGCTGGGTATCATTAGCATCCTGCTGACACCTTGCCCTAAATCTCCTAATGATATGCTTCACAGAGTCCGTGGCAATGAACTGGATGCATACCAACATGGTGAGCAGCCCGCCAGGCTTGACAGTAATTATTATTTGTCCTGAAAACATTTGCCTTCGGAATCAAAATGATTTTTTCCCCCACACTAGAATCTCAACAGTGCAGAGTATTGCTCAGGAGAGTGGGTGGAGGGTGGGAGTAAAAATTGTGGGGCTTGGTAACTCTTATGGTTACGGATAAACATGAACGCCTGCTGTTTTGGTGCTGAATGAGGGACAACTTGAGGGTTTTTGTAGGGCAGGGCAGGAGGAGGAATGAATCAGGCCAAAGGGCCAGGTAGCTATCTCCCCCCCCCCCACACACACACCTTGTGGGCCACATTTGGCAGGCGGGTGGAGCCAGACACCTGTCATAGTGTGATTTATTTTAATTTTTATTCTTTTCCCACACGTGTCTTCAGAAGGCCCTTTCAAAGCTTGCCCAGCATTTTGCATAGGCCTTTGGGACACGGGTGGCGCTGTGGGTAAAAGCCTCAATGCCTAGGGCTTGCCGATCGCATGGTCGGCGGTTCGAATCCCCGCGGCGGGGTGCGCTCCCGTTGCTCGGTCCCAGCGCCTGCCAACCTAGCAGTTCGAAAGCACCTCCCAGTGCAAGTAGATAAATAGGGACCGCTTACTGGCGGGAAGGTAAACAGCGTTTCTGTGTGCGGCTCTGGCTCGCCAGAGCAGCGATGTCACGCTGGCCACGTGACCCAGAAGTGTCTCCGGACAGCACTGGCCCCCGGCCTCTTGAGTGAGATGGGCGCACAACCCTAGAGTCTGTCAAGACTGGCCCGTACGGGCAGGGGTACCTTTACCTTACCTTACCTTTGCAGGCACTGCCAATCAGCTGTTCACCAGTGCTGGCAGAATGCCTTTCAGCTGAGTCAGATTTTTACCTGCCCTACACTGGAGGCTGTGCAGCAGCAGCTCCTGGCCACAATGGCTGTCTTCTACCTCTGCTGTCAGAGGGGTTATGCTTCTGAATTTAGGGCAGATTTAGGGCAGTGCACAGGGCGCTGAGCTGAGAGGGCACCTTCCCGCCCACTTCCCAAAGCCTAGTAAGTGCTTGATTTGGAAAGGAGTTGCGAGGGCTCTGGCGGGGTCCTGACTGCATGCTCAGCTTTGGAAAGAAGACTAAAGGGCTCTTGGACCCTCCCAGAGCCTTGTGCCTCTGTCCCAAAGCCTGCCACCTTGCTTACCCGGCCTTGGGGAGCAAGAGAGGGGGCTTAAAGGTAAAGGGACCCCTGACCATTAGGTCCAGTCGTGGCCGACTCTGGGGTTGCAGCGCTCATCTCGCTTTATTGGCCGAGGGAGCCGGCGTACAGCTTCCGGGTCATGTGGCCAGCAGGACTAAGCCGCTTCTGGCGAACCACAGGAGTGCACGGAAACACCGTTTACCTTCCCGCCAGAGTGGTACCTATTTATCTACTTGCACTTTGACGTGCTTTCAAACTGCTAGGTTGGCAGGAGCAGGGACCGAGCAATGGGAGCTCACCCCGTTGCGAGGATTTGAACCGCTGACCTTCTGATTGGCAAGTCCTAGGCTCTGTGGTCTAACCCACAGCGCCACCTGCGTCCCGCAGAGAGAGGGCTTAGGGGGTGCCAAATTTTGGCCTTGCACAGGGTGCCATATTACCAAGGTACACCGCTGCTGGAAAGCACAAAAGGGGAGAATTGCTCTTGTGCTCAAGACCTGCTAATAGGTTTCCCACAGGCATCTGGTAGGCCTCTGTGAGAACAGGATGCTGGATGGGTCATTGGGCCAATCCAGCGAGCTCTTCTTATGTTCTTATGGTGTAGGGCAGGTGGGTGTGACTTGGGCGAAGTGGCCTGGCAGGCCAAATGGAGAGCCCACAAGGCAGAGGTTCTCCACCTCTGGTGTAGGGGAAATGGCCATCCTGCCCCCTGGTTGTTCTCTGCTCCTGAGGTTCAGCTACAGCAAGGGAACTTTTGATTTATTTATTTTTTAAATATTTTTATTAATATTTTGCTAAGAGAATTTCATTTATGAGAAGACAGTGAGAAAAAGAAGAAAGTGAGTGAGAATGAAAAAAGAAACAATAGTGTTACATTACCATACGTTAATATATGTATGTTCTTATCCTAATACACATATACTTTTCGATAACCTAATATATTCTGTGTCAACTCATTCTAAATAGCATTGTATTTATCCAAAGAAAGTCTGTGTCTATAAGGTGTCTGCTCATTTGTTGCCAATGTTGTCATGCCACCCCGTTAGGGTGTGTAGAATCCATTTTCTCTGTCCCGTTGTCAATTTCCATACAATGGGTATATAGTTCAAGAGCATATTCACCTCTGAAAATCTTACAAGTGTCCAGCACTTTCTCCCGAAACTTAGTAAGTGTGGGACAGAGTAAAAGCATATGTTTCAAAGAAGCATTGTCCATGTAACTTCAATCTCTTTCCTAGCGTACGAGTTGACGGCTGCATTCCCTTGGGGGTCATCTGTTGGGGCCACGTATTGGTGGTGGATAGGGCTGAAGTCAAATGTCGGTGGAGCAGTTGAAAAAGGCTGGCGAGGACAAAAAAAAGACCCCAATAATGTGGGTGAAGATAACAATATGTTTGGTGTGGTAAGGCAGAACATTGCCTATCAGCAACACTACTAATTTTTTTTTATAGACTTGACCTTGACTCAGATTAAGTCCACGTCGACTGTGTACAATTGTCCTTAGCCCAGAATTCACGTCTCGCTGAGGTCATTGCCGCTTTCTGGAAGGGCGCCAGAGCAGGTGGGGAAGGAGACAGGTGTTGGCAAACTTAACCCCGAATGTGTTCCCTTGTAATGAAGTGAATGAGGCCGGGGGGGGGGGGGAGAACTGACAGTTCACCTGTTTCATAAAACAATTGCTCCAGGCTGTTCCGTTGGGCAGAACCTCAAAACACCCTAGAATAGCATCAGCTTGCCTATGAATTCCATGCATACCTCATAAGGGTAGGATTCTTAAAGAGCTTTGCATAACAGAACCCAGACAGAGGAGCAACCATCTGGCAGAGCTGTGAGCAGGGCGGTTCAATAGCATTGCTGCAAGGTATTTATTCTGTGCTGAACAGTTCCCCCACAGTTCCATTAAATGGATCTACATTTATTATTATGCTGCTGGTGATGATTGATTGATTGATTGCTCACTCTTCGCCCTGAGATCTAAGGGTGGGACACAACCGTTGAACGTACAACATTACTAACAGTTCGAAACAAATTATAGCCTCAAGAATAGAGTAGCATCTAAAAATATGCACCTCAAGTGTCAAAGGTTACTTCACTTGTATAGTGTAAATATAGATATATAAATTCTAAAGGGGCACAGAGTTTTATAATGTATATTGGGGTAGGAAATTCACCTCAGTTCTTACTTTAATGTGATCCTATCAGTTTCACAGTTCCTGAAATATTCACCTCTCCAAATTTTGCAAAAAAAAAAAAGGTTTACAAAAATGTATATACATGGGGAAATTTTGCATACAGTGTTACGATGCATTAGGTGCAAATACTTGCAAATATGTGTAAATTGGGGAGAACTACATAACAAAATGTGCAAAAGCAATTATTTTTGTGAGTTGTTGGTTTTTTTTATATAATGGGAAATGATGTAGAAATGTGGCAAGCTGAACTTAAGACTGGGAAAATGAGAGGCGGAAAGAAACCAGCGTTGACACATTTGGCCATCCCTCGATGTAGATTTTTAAATTGTGTATGGAATTCATCCAAACCTCTCCTAATTGCAGCATGACGGAGGTGATGAACACACGCGAACCTGTTATGGAGGAATTTACCTTGAGCCAGCCTGAGGAAGAAGGAGGCACCTCCAGCCAGGTAAATGTAGGCAAATTACACACCATGCTACAGCCAACTCATTTTATCTATTTAATGTTTGTCAAAAGTATTTAGCTTCCTGGAGCCACTGAGAAGGGCATGCTACAGGTACACCGTATATATAAATAGAATTCTTTTTAAAAACGTTTTATAAGGAGTAGGAGCCTGGCTTTATTCTTTCCTTCTTTTGCTGTTCCTTTGAAGCCTGGGGTGAAATTCATGTCGGCTTCAATGGCAGCTAACAATGTTTCATCATAGCCCAGGCAGAGCAATCAGGTGTGCAGCCACTTGGACGTGTCATCAGTTAAGTGCATAAAACCAAAAAGGCATACCCAGGATCTACAGCAGGGATAGGGAACCTGTGGCCTTTCAGATGTTGGACTCCAACTCCCATCAGCCTCTTTCAATGGTCAGGGATGATGGGAATCATAGTCCAGAACACCTGGAGGGCTGCAGGTTACCCAGTCCTGATTTATGCATTGGAATGGTCAACACTTGGAATGGGTACCCCGTTCTGGCTGCAGTGATTTTGGACAGCTGTTTTTGGACCTCTGCTTTAGAGACTGGAGAGCTGCTCTCTGTCCTGGCTGGCGTCCATTTACAGGGGATTAACATGCAAAATAATAAAGGTGATAATGATGCCGTCAGAGCAATCCATAGGCATCCCAAGGTGTTCCCCAAATGAACTTTTTTCAGACTGAGTTAATAACCACAGAGGTTTAGTAGGCCAGGCTTTTACCTGAGTCGAGACCTCAGTTTTCCCCCGGGACCCAACAGTAGTAATTCAATAAACTTTTGCAGCTTGGTTTAAAAGCATTCATGGTTAAGTCTAATCCTACTCAAGGGTAAGCTTTAGGCAAGTGTGGATAGGATTGCAGTCTTAATGTCTTTAAAGCAGGGGTCAGCAGCCTTTTTCAGCCGTGGGCCAGTCCACCGTCCCTCAGACCATGTGGTGGGCCGGACTATATTTGGGGGGGGAATGAACGAATTCCTATGCCCCACAAATAACCCAGAGGTGCATTTTAAATAAAAGCACACATTCTACTCATGTAAAAACAAGCTGATTCCTGGACCGTCCGTGGGCTGGATTGAGAAGGCGATTGGGCCGGATCCGGCCCCTGGTCCTTAGGTTGCCTACCTCCATTAAAGCAACATACACTTCTTTATAATAATTTGCACCTTTATGGCAGCCTTCATCAACCTGGTGTTCTCTAGATGTTTTGAACTACATCAGCCACAGCCAGTGCATGTTCAATAAACAAATGAATAAATAAGGATCCTCGTTTGGAACTCATCCTTGTCCCCAGTGTAAATCCTATTATACACAGTGGAACTTACACCAAGTTAAATGAATGTAGAATTGCACTGTTACCAGGCTAAGCATGTCTACTCAGAATTTAAGCCCAACTGAGTGTAGAGCATTGCAGTTCTTAGAGATTTAAGTTTTTAATTAATTTGGGGTTTGGAACAAGGTACGAAAGGTATGAGCACTTCTTACCCAGATGTTGCCACAGATCTGGATGGCATCTTTTGGGGAATTATGTCTGATGCTAGAATATCACATGTTTCTTCACGCCTCTGATATTACTGGTAACAATTCCTGTGCCTACTGTGTGAATTCTTCTCAATATGTGTTAGTTACAGTAAATGTCAGAACTTGGATTGTGGTTTATATTTACTGGTAATTCTTAAGAGTTTAGGCAGCCTACTGGGAATTGTCATGAATGTATTGAGGTTTAACATTTATACGCCCATGGTGCGTGGCAAATTTCTTCTGCCAGCAAGTGATGAGAATGAAGATGACATTTTGCTGAGAGCTGTCAGGAGGACTTGAAATTTACTGATAGACCTTCAAATATTTCTGACCGGTTCCTCCAGACCTCGGAAGAAACTCAAGAACTACAAGTAAATGTCACGATCCACCAAGTTTCTGGAACTTAGTGCAACAGAACATGTACACCCACACAGACATATTAACTTACTAAGTGTTTTTCTTCTTCTTACGGTTCTCTCCTTCAGTGGTACTTGGGTATAAAGGACTCATGTAGTCCTTCACAACAGAACGAGCTTTTATCATTTTGAGTGTTACACTTAAAAAAAAAAAAGGATTCTTGCTAACTGCATAGGCAGCTCTGAGATTGAGAATAGCTACCATTGCCACTCAACAGGTGGTCAGGCAGACGACACATATTTATTCAGGGCTGAGGCCAGAAATGTGCTCGAATGAATGAGGCATCTTTTCCCTTGCAGAGCTGCATTCATTCTCCTGAATAATATGATCCGACAAGTGGCATTGACAGCACCGAGATGAATGAGAAAGAATATAATGGTGGTGGCCTGGGACAGAGTGTCGTATCTAAATAAGTCCTACTTGGGGTAGACCCCTCATTGAGATCCGTGGACTTACATTAGTCATCAGCTTGAATCAATGGATTCAACCATCCCTATTGATACTGATGGATCCATTTCAAGTATTTGCTACCTCCACTGTTGGAATGCTAGCTTACAAGAGTCTTCTAGTTGGCCACTGTCAGAACAGGATGCTGGAACTGATGTTCTGGCAGGCTCTTCTTATATTTCCAGCTATTTATTTATTTGGCTCACTGGCAATCCTCTCTGCACCTCCCAAAATATATTTGTTAATTGAGCATACACCGTGCTTTTGGGTTGGGGATTGTCACGCATTTTCACAGCGGGTTATTAAACACCAGTTGTTGTTGTTGTTTGCATTGTGCCATATTCTTCCCCAGAATGATGAGGTGTCGACAGCAACGCATCACAGCAAACGACTGTTGCCCCAAGAAACCATGAATAACTCATAACGCAGCACCGCTAGTAATGCACAAAGGGTTGAAGATGAAGGTCTTGATTTAGTAGTGCAAATGTTGCCTTTTGTTACCAGAGACCGAGTGTGAATGTTAAACCGTTTTTCCTTTTCAATTGCCTCCATGGCAACCATGTCTGGTCGGCAACTACTTTAGCCAGCAGGCAACGTGGAGGTTGTGGGTGGAGGGACCCCTGGCTCTCGTTCCAATGAGAACAGCTTCAAATCATTAATTTGTAGAGAGGCAACCACATGGGTGCAAGGAAGGTTTTCTTTAAAACTCATTTTCTCAATGTTCTGGCATGTTTCAAGCTGACGTGTTCATCCTTGAGTGAAAAGGACTCCACATTCAAATTGAGAAAATAAACCTTTATCAGTTAAATCCACTCTCCTCCAGATTAAAGGTAAAGTAAAGGGACCCCTGACCATTAGGTCCAGTCGTGACCGACTCTGGGGTTGCAGCGCTCATCTCGCTTTATTGGCCAAGGGAGCCGGCGTTTGTCCACAGACAGCTTCTGGGTCTTGTGGCCAGCATGACTAAGCCGCTTCTGGCAAACCAGAGCAGCGCACAGAAACGCCGTTTACCTTCCCGCCGGAGCGGTACCTATTTATCTACTTGCACTTGACGTGCTTTCGAACTGCTAGGTGGGCAGGAGCAGGGACCGAACAACAGGAGCTCACCCCGTTGCAGGGATTCGAACCACCGACCTTCTGATCAGCAAGTCCTAGGCTCTGTGGTTTAACCCACAGTGTCACCCGCGTCCCCTCTCCTCCAGATTACTCTCTAGTAAAATAACTTTCTCAACAAGGCATACAGCCACAGGAAGACATTGCATTCAAAGCTACTGGTCATGAAGAAGCTGCCCCTTCCACAAACATGATAGGTATTTATTTATTTTAAAAGTAGGTGTTGTTAGGGCTTGCCGATTGGAAGGTCGGCGGTTCAAATCCCCGCAACAGGGTGAGCTCCCGTTGCTCGGTCCCAGCTCCTGCCAACCTAGCAGTTCAAAAGCACGTCAAAGTGCAAGTAGATAAATAGGTACCGCTCCGGCGGGAAGTTAAACTCCGTTTCCATGCACTGCTCAGGTTTCGCCAGAAGCAGCTTAGTCATGCTGGCCACATGACCCAGAAAAACATCAGCTCCCTCGGCCAGTAACGCCACAACCCCAGAGTTGTTCACGGCTGGACTTAACTGTCAGGAGTCCTTTACCTTTGCCTTTAGATGATGTTAAGACCTTTCTTCTTTTTTGAAATTTGGAAAATCAGCTTGTTAATGAATCTTTGCTTTTCTCTTCCGCCATTCAAAATCCTTTTGGTGTGTGAAGCAGAAAATGCAAATGGTTCTCAACTTCCACTCATTAATATGGAGCACGATCCACAGAAAATTCTCCTCCATGTGCCTCCTTGAGCTGAACAGGATCTGCACAAGAACAACCCCCTTGCTTTTGTGTAGTTCGCGTTCGTTTTCGGAGGGCCTCATGTCCTGATGAATTCCCCAGGGGGCTGATGTGCCCGAGAGCCAGACTTGTCTGCCCCTTGCTCTCTGTTGAGAAATGTCAAAAAATAATAAACAATGTAAAAAATGAAATGAAATATCACCTTAGGCTTTTCCAGAGGCACACGAAAAGTACCCCAAGCTGTCGAAAAGATTACCCTCCATTGTGGTGGAGCCATCCGAGACAGGGGATGTTGAAAGCGGAGAGCTTCGTTGGCCACCGGACGACCTGAAATCCATGGAGGACAAGAAGGCTCTTGCTGCGCAGAGGGCTCAACAGCAGAAAATGGATCTTGAAAGTATGGGTCATTTAATTTAACCTCTACCCGGGGGTGGGAGGGGAGCCTGAAACGACACTTTCAAAATGGCGGAAGGGTAGACCATGCCTATATACCAGCTCACTGTTGTGCAACATCTCTAGGAAAAGAATATGACAAGATGGTGCCTCTTCATTGACTGTCCCTAAATATTGCCCCTAGTTGCTGCATTGATTAGTTGGTTAGTTGACTGTATTCGTAGGTCACCTTTTATAGGGCAAAGCTTCTTTCTTCACCCTTCAGAGTACAGTGGTACCTCAGGTTACAGACGCTTCAGGTTGCAGATGCTTCAGGTTGCAGACTCTGCTAACCCAGAAATAGTACCTCGGGTTAAGAACTTTGCTTCAGGATGAGTACAGAAATCGCACAGCGGCGGTGCGGCAGCAGCAGGAGGCCCCATTAGCTAAAGTGGGGCTTCAGGTTAATAACAGTTTCGGGTTAAGAACAGACCTCCGGAACGAATTAAGTACTTAACCCAAGGTACCACTGTACTGAAGTAATAAAGTAACATAATCATAGAGTCCGAAAGGATCACAAGAGTCATCTAGTTCAACCCCTTGCAATGTAGGAATATTTTGCCCAACGTGAGGCTCAAACCCACAACCCTGAGATTAAGAGTGCCATGCTCTTCCTGACTGAGCTATCCTGCTCTCATAGGACTGGTTCTTTCTTTGCCCCTCAGAGACACGAAGTGCCATGGAACTTGCTTTGCAGCTCGTGAGTCACGAAATGTTACGGAACCTCTTTTACTTCGCCCTCAGAGGGCGACTGGAATTCATTCTCGCTCTTTCCTCGGGCGCAAGAGGTCCTGCTCTTCATCGGGGAGGAAGAAGAGCAACCCTCCTGGCTCCTCTCAGAATCCTACATGCCCCTTTGCCTCTGAAGCCACAGGGACTGTGGGCATAATCTGCCGATTTCCTGACATCCCTTCCCAGCTCTTTGAGAGCTGTGAGGCCTCCAGTCTTCCTTTCTGTGTCACCCTCCAAGCTGCTTATCTGAAGACCATGGGAATGCAGAAGTGGTCTTCTCCAAGTTTCCCTACCTTCTTTTAGAGGCCCTCCTTACAGGGGCACCATCTGGGGGGGCAGCCCCCCCCCCAATATTTCCAAAGAGAGGCCTGCAGGATGAAGCATCTCTACCCTGGTGCGTCCCTTTGACAATCGCCAGAGTGCTTTCCTAGAAGGCTTTGTTGACTTCTGGCAACCTTGCTGAGGTAGATTAACTGGTGCTCTGATGAAGGCCCCATCTGCACTCTATATTGCTATAAGGCTGTGTCATGCCACTTTAAACAGCCATGGCTTCCCACAGAGCTAAAGTTCCCAGACTTTTCCTGGGAAGAGGAATTCATTGTTGTGTTACGGCATGAGCAGAGCGCAGACAGCTCCACGTCGAATTGTGTCATTGAACCATAGCTGTCAACGTTCCCCTTTTTTTAAGGGGAATTTCCTTATTCCGAACAGGATTCCTCACAAGAAAAGGGAAAGGTTGACAGCTATGCATTGAACACAGGACGTTGCTTGTAGAAGAAAATATGCCAGATAGTTGAGTATGGTCAGCAACAGTATATTTTTACTGACAGGTAGTAGAAGAACTCAAGGGACGCAGGTGGCGCTGTGGGTTAAACCACAGAGCCTAGGACTTGCCGATCAGAAGGTTGGCGGTTCAAATCCCCGTAATGGGGTGAGCTCCCGTTGCTCGGTCCCTGCTCCTGCCAACCTAGCAGTTTGAAAGCACGTCAAAGTGCAAGTAGATAAATAGGTACCGCTCCGGTGGGAAGGTAAATGGCGTTTCCGTGCACTGCTCTGGTTCGCCAGAAGCGGCTTAGTCATGCTGGCCACATGACCCGGAATAAAACAAGATGAGCGCCGCAACCCCAGAGTCAGTCACGACTGGACCTAATGGTCAGGGCTCCCTTTACCTTTAGTAGAAGAACAGTTCTCTAGCATTCCTAGGGTCCTCAGAGGTTTCAATTGCTTGTGTAGTTAAACACATTCAGGACTGTAGTAGAAAGGGGTCATACCTCAGTCTACCTCTCATTCCAGACTGGCAGCTTGCAGAATAGAGCAATGACGTGTTTCCAGCAAAGCACCCTCACAGCAGCGACCCAACACAGGAAGGTTAGGTTCCATCCCACAGATTGTTGATAACACAAGACCACTTATACTCTCCTTAGAGCAGTTATTTGCCTCTGACACACCTCACAAGTTCATTGAGCTCGTGACCTTGAGCTGCAGGTGGAAGACAAGAACGCTCATTTAACCATTGCTTGACTTCTCTCTCTGCAAGGATGCGCTTATGCACCCCTCTGACACATTGAACCACTTTGGGAATTGCAATTCTGCAAGGGGATTAGGGCAGTCTCCTAACAACGCTGCTGACAAACGACACTTCCCAGGATTCCTTAGGGGAAGCCATACAGCAGCACCTCGGCTTACGTAACCCTCTGGTTACGTAAACTTCATGTTACAAAAGCGTAAAACCCGGAAGTATTGGACTGGGTTTCACAGCATGCGCATGTGCAGAAGCGGTCTGCCGCTGTGCACATGCGCAGAACAGTGATCCTCAGGTTGCAGAAACCTCGGGATCCCACTGGACCTCCGGAACGGATCCCGTTCGCAACTGGAGGTACCAATGTACAGTGGACGCTCGGGTTGCGAACGTGATCCATACGGGATGCACGTTCGCAACCCACAGCGTTTGCAACCCGCAGCGGTGCATCTGCGCATGTGTGGGTTGCGATTTGGTGCTTCTGCACATGCGCAAAGCGTGATTTAGCACTTCTGCACATGCGCAACCGCCAAAACCCGGAAGTAACCCGTTCCGGTACTTGCGGGTTTCGGCGCACCTGTAACCCAAAAAAATGCAACCTGAAGCGTCTATAACCTGAGGTATGACTGTACTATGATGTTGATTTAAGTGTGCAGATGAGGTCACCATATAAGACAGCTTTCTGTGTTCCTATGAAGAGGCTGAAAAATGGATAGATGACATGAGTATTATTATCCCTTTGGAGCTGTATCTTCGTATTTTTGTCCTTCCCGGGGGTGACACTTTACATTTTTGATACCCCCTCCCTTTTGTTCTATTGGCACTTTTAAAAAACAAATTGATTAATTTAAAAAAGAGAAAGGGGTAGATAAAGTCAAGGACTGGTATCTTGACAGTGCTGCAAGAGTGTTGATCTTAGCATGAAATGGGGACTGCTTCAGGCGGCTGAATGTTGCAGACGAGTGAACGTTCATCTGAAACTAAACAGCCAGTAAATGTTTTCTCCTCCAGGTGCTTCGCCACATCAGGACATGGGAGACAGTACAGAATCCGGTGAAACCAGAACTGAGGGTGATGACTGAGGAACTTCATTCAGTGGGCCAGAAGTCGGAGATTTGGTGTGAACTTAATCAGAAAGCTAGCATATTCTGAAGACATGTCAGAGTGATCTATTTAAAAATTGCAAAAGGGTTTTTTTTCCTTAAAAAAAAAAAGTTAGTATGTGACCAGGAATTTGTAGGCTTTAGAACTGTTCCTTTCAAAAAGTTTACCTTTTTAGGCTGGCGTTCATATCATTTAAATCTCCTTTGGGAGGAAGCGGATCGCATTGCGGAAATACATTCCAGTGATTATTAAAGTAAACACGAAACATGTAAACTAAACATGAGCAAGCTGAATTTGTTGCAGTTAGCACTTTTAAATGAAATTGCCTTGTTCGAGTAAGGCTACGATCAGCAATCCGTGGCAATGCGAAAAGGGTTTGCATGGCTACAGAACTCTTTAAATCTATTAAGCCTCTCTTCTCTTAGCCATTTAAAAACTAGCACTGTGATATTATGGATAATTGATGTAATATAATGGCACCATTTGACTTTGTACCTTTTTTTTTTTTTTGTATAGAGACACGAGCTTAACTTTTGAATCTGGGCTATATAGAATATTTAGGACTGCCTTTTAAGTGGCGCAGAACAAGGGAAATATACCTAATCCCATTGCCCAAACTCTCTTTTTGTGTGCAAAATCAAAATGAACCAGCCTTTTACTGACGAAGTGTATTTTAAAGACAACGAAACAAAAGTTTAAGGAGTTCTTTATCAGTGTGCATTTACTAGGTGTTCACCAGTGCTTGTGAATCGAATCAGTTCTGTGTTAGTTTGGTTGGCTGGGCTTTGCTTACAGCTTGTGCAAACGATGCTCTCGTGGTCCAAATTCTGCCGTGGTGTAACTGAGCGCCCCCTGCCAAACCAGGGGAACAATTGCTGCTATTTACATCAAGGTCGAATTTACTCCAGGGTGTTGATAGGAAATATTGTTGCTATTTTTATGACATTTTAAATATACAAATATATATATCTACACACGCACACACACATATATATATAGTTATAGATATAAACACTCTGCTGACTTTTTTACATACATTTTTGGGGTCTCAAGACTGGCTGGAACAGGTAAGGGGTGCATCTTTTGCCTAATTAGTACTGTCCCTCACACCATAATGTCTTATTTTGACTATTTAGTCTGCTGAGGGTTTTGTGCGTGTGTGTGGCCAGGTCTGAGGCGTTAGTACAGGGGGCGGAAAACCTCAGGCCCCGGGGGTTGAATGTCTCTCTCCAGGACACCCTGTCCCTGCTGCCCTCGGGACTGTCAATAGGCCACGCCCCTAACTCACAGGCCACACCCCTCCCTGGCCTTGATCCGTGGCCTCCTCAAGTGCTTTTGCCTGGCTCGAACTGTGACAATGCCTCTTGCTTGCCTGCATGGAAGACAGAGAGCTGTGGCTGCAGGAACCTCTGACTTTTGTGTGTGGCTGGAATGTATTATTATTATCATTATTATTATCATTATTTATTCAATTTTTACACTGCCAAAGATCCCAGGGCGGTGTACAACCTTAAGAAGACATTTTACAGAGCACAATAATGAAAACATAATAAAAAGCCTAACAACGGACAGAAGAATACTAAAACAGTCATAATAACAGTCCCCCTACCCCACAGCTTTAACAGCCCATAGATTCAGTGGGTAAAAAGGAATGTTTTTCCTAGCGCCTAAAGACATGTGATGATGGTGCCAGCCAGGCCTCTCTGGGGAGAGCATTCCACAATCGGAGCCACCACAGAAAAGGCCCGTTCTCATGTTGCCTGCTATTTGAAAGTAAGAGTCACATATCCACTGGATTTTTGCCTCTGGTACCATCCATCACCGCCATTTGAATGTTCCCTGTGAGGATATGCAGCCACTGGGTTGAAAAAGGTTCCCTAAATTGGCAGGTGCCATGAACAGAGCCACTGATACTAGCAGCCTTATCTGCACCGTAAACTTAAGCTGGCACAAGAGTTCTGTGTAGTTTCATGAGTGATGCCTAGTCATCTCCTAATTGTCAGCCCTCTTATCAAGCCACAGTTCCCAGGATTCTTTGGGAGGGAAGCCATGACAGTTTGACTGGGGTGAAGCTAATAGAGGTTTGTACTGTGTGTGCTTTGACAGAGGAGCCCGGTTGCACCTCATTATTGCCCTCATTTTGATGTCGCAAGGCGATGACCCTCCCCACAATCTGTTTCAGCATGAAGGACCTTTCATTCTCAATGTACTGTTGATCTAATATTTTGAAAACCTTTGATGACCAAAGTTCTCCAGGACATGGTGGAAACCAAAGTTCACTCTTTATGTGCTTGGGTACGGGAGAATCGAACTCTAAAGAAAATGTAATCTTCCGCAAACGATGGGCCTAAGTCAGTCATGTCTATTCCTTTCAATAGATCTATGTATGACTAACATTGCACACAACCCAAAGTCTTTTCCTCAGTCATCCTTTCATGCTTCCCCCCATTTTTGCATCACTTGCTTCCCTGCCTCCCCCCTTTCAATGACAGGCCCTGAAAAATAAGGCTGAAGAAATATCTGACATTGTAAGTGTAGCAGGCGATTTAATAACATCTCCAGCCCTCTGTGTAAACAGCTTTTTCCTCCCACCAGAGGCGGTTTAATAACAATCCTCTGTATGAAGTTTTTTCTCTCCCACCTCTCTTGAAAACCCACATATGAAGGATTTTTTTCAGAGTGCTTTAGCTGGAATTGATGAAGGCTAGCATGGAAGGGTACCTATTGGCTAGTTCCTGTAACATCACCAACTCTCCCAATAGTGGCTTTTAAGTGGGGTGGTGTTTTTTTTAAAGTAAGATGAAGAATTAACACATATGTCCATAGACATGTGCACAAATGTGCATCTGCTGCTTTTTCTTTTTTCAAGGGATAACTCAGTTTACAGAGTTAGGCTTCACCCTGGTGTGACCGCTCTTAAAATGCTGCTGCTTCTCTGTTCATCCTATAATGAATATACAGTGCTCAAACTCTGTTATATATTGTGCAACAGAATAAAGCAGGCCAGTTGAACAAACTCACAGAACCAGGGTTTTCTAGTCTCCGAACCTTGGAGTTACCAATTTCTAGATTTTTCTACTGGTAAGTGATACAGACTAATATTGCTCCTGGCTCCTTTCCAAGATGTCTTACGAACTTGACATTTTCTCCCCAGCGCATGGGGAACTTATTGAGATATTTGACCAACAAATGCTTTAATAAGACAGTTTTTTATACATTCTTAGAAGCTGGATTTTAATATACTTATTTAAAGACTTCTGTGCAGTAGACGTTTTAGTAGTAGAGGGGAAAGAAACATTTTCTCCATTAAAGCAACCTTAGTGTGTAAAGGTGTGGTTTATTTTGGGGGCACTGAAGGTTGGTGTGCCCCCCCTTTAAAAAATAAAGTAGTTGTCCTAGAAAACAATATGTTAAATTCAGTTGAATTTTGCATTTTTATTGTCACCAAATAACTTTGTGGGCTGAATGTGTTTTGCCAAAGAATATCTGGAACCCCCAGCTTATAGTGTAATCGTTCAGGAGTGTCTCAGATGCCTCCTTGGTACCTGACAGTTCTCTCCTGTCTTTCTTTCACCAGTTGCTCTGAATAACTTTGCACTGACCAAAAATTAATGGGGAAATGCAACATATCAGAATATCCCTCCAATTACCAATGTAGTCCATGTATGCCCTGTGGGAAAAGCATTGTACATTATTCCCAGGGGGGCCAAAGTATTGACCCTTGGAAGACATCCTTCCACCTGCCTGCAGCTTTGCACAACCTCTGCAATCTTGCACGTGGCTTGAAACAAGAATGATCTAAGCCAAGGAGGGGCAGCCCATGCCCCCCCCCAGACTCCAACTCCCATCCGCCCAAAACATAGCATGGCCATTAGTCAGGCACAGTGGGAGTTGTAGTTCAGTAACGCCAGGCAGGCCACAGGTTCCCCATCCCTGCTCTAAGTTATTTGCAACCTTCCTGTGCTTAAGGAGGTACAGGGGTTTGAAAGACCAGTGTCCTTGTGCGACCACCATGGGAAGCATTCATTTCAAGAGCGTCTTCAGGCACCTCGCTCCCTCTAAGTCTTCTCCCCATTATTTCATGGGGTTGCGTGACTTTGTGGGGAAGCGCCTGCAGGCATGCAAAGTTGTAAAGCATGGGTCTTTTCCTGGATTTGCGTGCTACACTGTTGTTGTTCTTAAAGAAGTGAATATAGCCGTGCTTGTCAACAAGAACGCATCTCAGCGCAGCCTTGGGAGCCATGGATGTGTTGAAGCATTGAGGCTTGGAGCTGCTTAGCAATCTTGAGAGCAGGGTCTCCAAAGCTCCACAGTACTCCACTCCCATTTCCCTTTCGATACTTGGCTTGTTCAAGGAGGCATCACTTTAGCAAATGAGATGTGATTCAGAAGAGGGGGACACTGGACTCAGCTGTTTCTTAGGTGAGGTTCACTTCCAGAGTAAATTAAGAGCTTACCATCAGCAACGTGAGCAGAGTAAGAGGGACGCGGGTGGCGCCGTGGTCTAAACCACTGACCCTCTTGGGCTTGCCGATCGGAAGGTCGGCAGTTCAAATCCCCGCAACGGAGTGAGCTCCCGTTGCTCTGTCCCAGCTCCTGCCAACCTAGCAGTTTCGAAAGCACACCAGTACAAGTAGATAAATAGGTAACGCTGCAGCGGGAAGGTAAACTGCATTTCTGTGCGCTCTGGTTTCCGTTAATGGTGTCTCGTTGCACCAGAAGCGGTTTAGCCATGCTGGCCACATGACCCGGAATGCTGTCTGTGGACAAACACTGGCTCCCTCGGCCTGAAAGCGAGATGAGTGTCACAACCTCATAGTTGCCTTCGACTGGACTTAACCGTCCAGGGGTCCTTTACCTTTTCCTTTTTATAGGAGGACAGTCCAGTGCTTGTGAATCCAAATAGCCTTCATTTCCTCTCTAACGCTTAAAAGAAAACCCTGCTATATGCATTTAGCAAATTAATAGCTTCTGACCCTCATCCAGTTAAAATCAGTGATGTGACTCAGAGTGCAAACCTACACGTTTACCCAGAGAGACGTCCAACTGTGTTCAGTAGGGCTTTCTCCCAAGTAAGTGTACACAGGTTTATAGATTAATCCCCATTGAAACCAGTAGGTAATAATGTAGAACTGCATCAGAACTGTCACTTCTTCTCCCTGACTTAGAGTGGGTAGGTGGAGCACACCTTACCTGCCTGCCCACCAGCACACCTGCTCCAACTCCAGCCCCCGTACCCTGGTTGTCGATGACATGGTATGACTTTTTAATGG